ACCATTTTTTTAAAAATTAATTAATTAATTTTTTTTGTGTGTGAAGAAGATCAGCCCTGAGCTAACATCTGTTGCCAATCCTCCTCTTTTTGCTGAGGAAGATTGGCCTTGGGCTGACACCTGTGCCCATCTTCCTCTCCTTTATATGGGATGCAGCCACAGCATGGCTTGACAAGCTGTGCATTGGTGCTTGCCTGGGATCCGAACCTGCAAACCTCGGGCAGCCAAAGCGGAGTGCCTGAACTTAACTGCTACGGCACCGGGCCGGCCCCACAGCACCATTATTTACAAGAGCTAAGATATGGAAACAGCCTAAGTGTCTATCAATAAAGAAATGGATAAAGAAATTGTCATATATATGTGCAACGGAAATTATTCAGCCATAAAAAAGAATGAAATCTTGTCATTTGTGACAACATGGATGAGTCTCAATGGCATTACATTACACTAAGTGAAATATGTCACACAGAGAAAGACAAATATTGTATGATCTCTCTTATATGTAATGACTCTAAAAAAAACAGACAAACAAAAACACCAAGCTCATGGATACAGATAACAGAGTGGTGGTTGCCAGAGGCAGAGGGTGGGAGGGTGGCAGAAATGGGTGAAGGGGGTCAAAAGGTAAAATGAAAAAAAAAGGGAGTTGTACCAAAAAAAAAGCATGTTTATGATAATCACATAGTGACAGAAAAATGATTATATACTTTTATACATTTTAAGTTTACAAACTACACACCACTGCTCTTGGATGGTCATCATTGAGTGCATGTACATGCAGAGGAATGTCAGTTACAGAGCTGCAGGCATTCTGAGGGGATGTGGAGAAAAACTCTCTTCTTGCCACATTTTCCCTGAAACTAACTTCTAGTAATTATATCCACTAAACTGTTTTTGTTGTCAAAAATTTGATTTGCATTTTTGGAAATTAAAAGTAATGGGGTGAGGTTGAAAGAGCATTTGGATATTTAGACATTGGAAATCTTTAATAAAATGAACAAAAACTTGGAGTGATGCCATCTTTTTTTTGTTATTACTTCCTAACCAACAGAGGCAAGGAAAAAAAAAGAGTGAACTCTAAAAATAAATAAATACCCTGTTTGAGGAAAGCATCCTAGGAGCTTGTTGGAAATAAAGATTTTTGAGAGGTGCTAACATTCTGCCTCCACTGTTGCCAATCTTACTACAGATCTCAGACTTGAGCTGCAACATCAACTGGATTTCCAGCCTCCAGCCAGCCCTGTTCTCTTCAGACCGGCCAGCCCCCACCATCTGAATTGACATGAGCCAATTTCTTAGTCTATCCTGTTGCTACTGTCTCTCCTAACAGGGATTTTGTTTCAGGGGAGATTGCCAGCAACCAAGGACCTCCATTCAGTCCTGAACAGATTTTTCCTCCAATTACAACCCAAAGTTTACATAACATCTTCCTGTCCCCTATATCATTTACTTGTGTCACTAAAATTGTAAAAGTGTATAGACAAAGTTTTACCACCCCTAGATTTTCTAATTGTTTAATAAATTCTGTCTACTAGCACATTCCTAAAGCCATCCATCCAGTTATCTTTACATTTCAAAAACCTGGTCATAAGACCAGCATATAGTTAAACCTATTGGTGACATTTAAAGCACAATGAAACGTGAAAGCTGCCTATACAATAAATAGATAAATAAAAGCGAAAATAGCCCGTGTTCATGGATCCTTAGATTTAACACTGTTGAGATGACAATACTTCCTAGAATGATCTGGATTTTCAGCAAAATCTCTATCAGAATCTCAGCTGACTTCTTTATAGAAATTGGCAAGCTTTTGATAAATTACATGGAATTGCAGCTGAACCAGAATCACTAAACCAATCTTGAAAAAGTAAGACAAAGAAATAAGACTAACATTTCCTGATTTAAAATCTGACTACTCAGCATGGTAATCCAGGTAACGTGGTAATGACACAAGGACAGACACACAGATCAATGGATTTGATTGAGATTCCAGATATAAACCCATTAATCTATGGTCAACTGATTTTCAAAAAAGGTGCCAAGAATGAGGAAAGACTATTCTTTCCAAACATTGGTGCTGGGACAACTGGATAGCAACACACAGAAGAATGAAGTTGGACCCTTACATTACACCACACACAATAATTTACCAAAATGGATCAGAGACCTAAACCTGAGGTAAACCAATAATACTCTTAGAAAAAACACAGGGAAAAATATGACCTTGGATTTGGCAAAGAATTATGAGACGTGACACCAAAAGCAAAAACACTAAAAAAAATAGATAATTTGAACTTCATCAAAGTAATCACATTGTGCTTTAAAGGACACAATCAAGAAAGTGAAAACACCCATGGGAGCCCCTGTGCTCTTCTGGTGGGAATGTAAAATCATGATGCCATTGTGGAAAACACTATGGCATTTTTCAAAAATTACAGAGACTGTTACCACATGATCCAGCAATTCCACTTCTGAATATATACCCTAAGGAATTCAAACAGATATTTGTAGACCTGTGTTCATAGGAGCATTATTCACAGTAGCAAAAAAGTGGAAGCAACCCAAGTGTCCATCAACGGATGACTGGATCAACAAAATGTGGTATACACATAGAACAGAATATTATTCAGCTTTAAAAATAAATGAAATTCTGACACATGCTATAACATGGGTGGACCTTGAGGACATTATGCTCAGTGAAACAAGCCAGTCAAAAAAAGGACAAAAACTGTATGATTCCACTGATATGAGGTACCTAGAGTAGTCAAATTCACAGAGACAGCAGAATAGGGGTTGTCAGGGTCTAGGGGGCAAGGGCAATGGGGTGTTGTTTGATATAGAGAGAGTTGCAGTTTTGTATGATGAAAAGAGTTCTGGAGATTGGTTTCACAATGTCAACGTACTTCACGCTACTGAACCATACACTTAAATATGGATAAGATATAATTTGTATGGAATAACTATAGAAGATGATCCAAAGGTACACACTTTGTGTTTTAAAATAAACAAGGCATGGGGACGTAATGTACAGCATGGTGACTATAGTTAATAATGCTAATTGTATATTTAAAATTTTCTAAGAAAGTAGAACTTAAAAGTTCTCAACACAAGAAAAAAAATTTATAACTCTGTGTAGACTTAATAAGTCTAGTTGAGGGTGTTAACTAAACTTATTGTGGTACGCCTGAAACAAATATAATGTTGCTTATCAATTATATCTTAATTTAAAAAAAATGAAGCATCGACACATGCGACAACATACAATTCCCTGAAAAAACTATACCATGAATGAACTCAAACACAAAGACCACATATTATATAATTTCATTCATATGAAATTCAACAAATAAGGAAATTTATAGAGGCAGAAAGTAGATTAGTGGTTGTCTAGGGCTGGTGTTTGGAGAGGCTAAGTGACTCGGGCAGTGACGCGTTAACAGTCTAGGCATTTCTTTTTAGGTGATGGAAATGTTCTGAAATTGACTGTGGTGATGATCGCAGGTATCTGTGAATACACTGAAGACCAGTGAGTTGTAGAAATTAAAGGGCTCCATTGTATAGTATGTGTCTTGTATCTTAGAAAAAACTGTTCACCAGCCGGCCCCGTGGCTTAGCTGTTAAGTGGGCACGCTTCACTTCTGGCGGCCGGGTTGGGATCCCGGGTGTGCACCGACCCACCGCTTCTCCGGCCATGCTGAGGCGGTGTCCCACATACAGCAACTAGAAGGATGTGCAACTATGACATACAACTATCTACTGGGGCTTTGGGGGAAAAATAAAAATAAATAAATAAAATATATTAGAAGGATGTGCAGCTATGACATACAACTATCTACTGGGGATTTGGGGGAAAAATAAATAAATTAATTAAAAAAAAAAGAAAAAACCGTTCAAATAAGTGGATAAATGTATTAAGAGTTTTGCAATGCAGATGAGTTTTGCGATCCAATCTCTTAAGCATGTGAACACTTTCCAGGTACGTCCCACATTTACATAAACTTTTCTTTGTTTTTTGTTGTATCAGTCCAAATAGGAATTGAATTACCTTAGGGATGTTATAGCTTTTACATTTCAAAGTTCCCTCAGGATACATCAAACAATGATCCAAAATAAACTTCCCCAGCCAGCCCTATTGGCATAGTGGTTAGTTCAGCGCTCTCACCACTTCAGCTGCTGGGGTTCAGTTCCCCGCAGCGGAACCACATCACTCGTCTGTCAGTTGCCATGCTGTGGTGGCAGCTCACAAAGAAGAACTAGAAGGACTTACAAGTAGAATATACAACTGTGCACTGGGGCTTTGGGGAGGGGAAAAAAAAGAGGAAGATTGGCAACAGATGTTAGCTCAGGGCAACTCTTTCTCAGTAAAAAAAAAAGAGGAAGATTGGCAACAGATGTTAGCTCAGGGCGAATCTTTCTCAGTAAAAAACAAAAAGGAAGATTGGCAACAGATGTTAGCTCAGGGCAAATCTTTCCCAGTAAAAATAAAATAAAATGAAATAAAATAAATTTCCTTCTAGGGTATAAACGTACACCTCAGAATTGAATGAGCACATCTCATACCTTGAGGTTAGACTGGGACAAGCCATTGCGCCCAGCTAGCGCTGCGAGTTCCAACTTCCCACCAGAGCTAAGTGCTTGGGAGGCCCTAGGAGTTTTTAAAATCTGTTATGAGTGGGGGTGGGGAAGCGCTGGGTGGAAGACTCAACGCTGTCCACAGTCAGAGAACGAAGTGGAGCCAGACTAATTATTACATATGGTGACATGACTTTTAAGTGTCTATGTTTGCAAAGAAGGATCACAGATCCTTGAGTGGCCTCGCAGCATCGCATCTCAATGGAAAAGTCCGTGGACAGGACAAGGTCCAGCTCCCGGTCAGCTCAGACACACAATCTCCGTCCCGCTGTCACTCAGGAGCGAGGGGGCGGGCCCTTTCAAACTGTCCAATCAGAGTCGGCTCTGGGGCAGGTGGGTGGGGCGACGCTCCGCAACCACTCCCCACTGCTGGCTGTCTCCACAGTCCTTCCGATGGCGGGTCGCCTGCCCGTAAAGGCCTCACGCTGCTCTGCCGCCGACTCTGTCGCGCTGTGACCTGTGTCGAATCGTAGGAAGGACGCGGGGGACCCAGGAAACTTAGCGATGGTGAGAGTTTGGCCCGGGGGTTGAGGAGACGGGGAGGAGGGGCTGGTCGGAACCGGCCGTGGCGGGACCGGCCTCCCCGCGGTCACCTCCGGAGTCTGCGGACCCGAGTCCGCGGGGGCGCCGCTCGGACCTCAGTCCCCTCCGGCCGCAGCGTGGGGGCTGGGCCGGCAGCCGGGACCCCGGGCGTCCTGTGGTCACCGCGCGCGGCGACTTGGGTCCCGGAGCCTCTCTGGGCAGCTCTGCCCCCGCAGCCCCGCGTGTCCCCAGATGATGCGGTGACCACGGGGAGGGTCATCAGGACAGTCGTGACTCGGTCTCCGGGGCTCCTGCGTGGGAGGAGCTGTGGTCTGTGGGGTCCCCAGTCCCTCCTTTCTCCTCAGAGGCAACTCATTTTTCTCCTGAGTGTTCTAATTTTTTTTTTGGAAGATTCGCGCTGAGCTAACATCTGTTGCCAATCTTCCTCTTTTTTCTTCTGCTTTTCCTCCAAACCCCAGTGCACGGTTGTATATGATGTTTGTGAGTTCTTCTAGTTCCTCTATGTGAGCAGCCATCACAGCAGGGCAACTGACAGACACATGGTGTGGTTCCACCCCAGGGAACTGAAGCGTGGCCGCGGAAGCGGAGCGCGCCAAGCTTTTAACCACTAGGCCATCAGGGCTGGCCCCTGCGTTTTCTAAATGTTTGGTGAGCAGGGTCTTAAATCCATGACCCTGTCCCCCCCTCCCCAGCTCTCCCTAGGACTGGCAATAAATCCCTAAATTTCCAAATCCTGCCTCACAGTCCCAAACCCCAACTTCCTGTCTCTGATTCACAGTATTGTTATCAACTATAAACAGACCCAATATTTTAGTTATCTTTTTTCTATAGTCAATGGATGGCTCTTTTGAAAGGATTTATTGCTCGTTTGTGGATGTTTTACTTGAGAGAAAAGGTAGCAAATAACCACCTGGAACTATGTTGTGTGAAATCCTTTGCCTCTCCTCCCAGGATGTGTCCTGGGCACAGACATGCAATTGTAATTCCTGTGGGTGGAGGTTCCTTTTGGCAAACTTCCCTGGGTGATCCATTCTATCAGCAGTGCCCCTTCCTGGGGTTGTCATCTTCAAAAGATACATTCACTTAAATTTAGTCTTAGGTTTCCAATGAATAGGAATTTATTAAATCTATAGATCTTGAAAGAAAATATAAAATATCTCAAAAGAGGGAAGTAAGAGGTGAATTTCAGAAAAAATAAAACATTCCAGTTTTACTTTGCATGATTTAAAAAGTTTTTCCTTTTTCCTCCCACCAGCATGATAGAAACATGCTGACATCAGTTCTTTATTTTGGGTGAGTTCAAATGGATTTCCAGGGCTTAGACTTGCAGACCTGAAGTGTTCAAGTATGATTAATAGTTTAAAATTTTCTTGTCTTGGAAATAATACTTAATTAACATCTTTTTTTCCAGAATGCAATATGTTCTTGTGAGGTTTCTTGTTGAGCCCACAGTGTCATACAATTGTCTTCCCTCATCTCCACATAAAGACTCCACATAAAGACTGGTTTGAGTGTTTTAGCTGGATTGTTCAAACACTGGGTTTGTCATTTAAAATATCAATGGTGGTCCAAAAAACCTACATTGTGAGCAGAAGCCAGAGGGCAATGAATCTAAGCTATGGCCCCCTTGGGCCTGCAAAGGGAAATACTGGAAGGCCCAGTTGTTCTTCCTGGGGAGGCTCCCCCTGCAGGTGTCGGGCCTGCTCACACCCCCCATGGAAGGAGCCTCTATACTGAGAGGAGCTGCAGAGCCCTGGAAAGCTGGGGGTGCATGTGCTCATGGGGGTGGGGAGGTGATGCCCTGTGTGAGGTTGTAACTGTGGTTTCCTTGGGCCTGTTTCTAGATGTAAGTGGGAGTTTTGCATGCACAGTGTAGGTGCACCCAGAGTGTAATTTGTTTACACTGAGAAAGTCTGTGAAATCAGGAGTTCTGTGTCCTGATTATGGTTCATTAATTTGGGTCAGAACCTTAAACTGAATCCAGCCGAGTTTTCCTCATTGTGGGAAGGGAAGCCTGAGAGAGGGAGCATTTGCATTATTCCCTGGGGAGAGGAGGGTGTGTGGCGCTCCCAGAGTTCACTCCTGTGGCTGCTCAGGTGCCCCACCCTCCTCCACCAGGGACTGACCCACTCCAGGGGTTCTGTCTCAACCAGGAGGGTCAGGAATATGGAAGCTTCTGAGTGTGGCTTTCCTTCTGTCCTGTGGGAAGCAGGCTGCTTATCTGTGCTGATTCCAATATTTGTGTTTCTTTCCTTTGGATTCCTTTATCGATTGAATAGTGCAGCCCTTTGGCTCTAGTTTCCCTTAGCACTTGGGCCCTGAAACTGTAAGTTGTTGGAGAGATAGGATGTGAGGAAAGCAAGAAAATTCTGGAAACAAGTAGTAGTTTTGTTCCATTTAGGCAAGAGAACCTCAAGATGTGAGATGAGTGTATTGAAGTTCTCAGGTATATATTTCATATTTAGGTCACTTTTTGTATGTGCATGTCCGTAGAGAACATAGAGATTTAAAAGGCTAAAGCAGTTGAATTCCTATTTTAATTAATGTGAGGGAAACAGCTGAAAGCTTATGTAAATGTTTGAAAATCCAATGCATTTAAGGGGCTAAACCTGAACCCATATTGCATTATAATATGCTGCTTATTCCTGAAAATCTTCCCAGTGTGAGATATAGAGGAAGGACAAACTAGGATGCCGCATGTCCATTTAGTTAGAAAGAGATTTGAAAATTTTCCTTTTGAATGGTTTATACTTTTGTAACTGATAGTGTTTAAAGGAATTAAATTTTAGAATAGTTTCCTATGTACAAAAGTGAAAATTAAATAAAAGACTGATAAATAGTAAAATAGAGTATACATAAATTTCTCTGTTTATTTGAAATAAATCTGTAAGATAGCAAAGTCTGACTTAAGAAGATCCACTGCCAACATATCCTGGTCCCCTGCAGTGCTGTTACTCGGGCCACCCCCAAATACAGTTTTGATCATTTTTTGAGGCTCCTGTTAGTGGTTATATAAATCAATCAATTGAGAATACATATTTTTCTTACCCACTTTGTACTTGTAGTGAGCAGTCAGACTCCACAATTTGGATGACGCTCACAGCTTCAGCCTCACCCCACCCTCTTCCCCTTGTGCCCCCACCTGGACAGGCTGATGAGAAAGCCTGGGTGTTCTCTCCTCTGGAGCAGGCAGGAGATTCCACCACACAAGCCCCTGCCTGTGTGCAGAACTCTTGCCCCAGCCCCACCCCCAAGCCCAGTGCACACCCAGGCCAGGCTCCATTCCTTGCTTTCTGAGCCCTTCCAGAGCCGCTTGAGAGGCCAGCCCTGCCTTCCCCTCAGACCTCTATTATGTCATTCCTAAGCCTTTTCCTACTCTGTGTGTGTTTGTGTATGTGAGTGTGTCCGTGCATGTGCATGTGCCACACTGGCATCAGTCTCAACAAGGGAATGACCCCTCTGCAGGTGACCATAACAGCTGGCACTCTAAGCAGCGTGTCCAGACATGACCCCCTCACCGTGGGTCTGTCTTCTCCTGCTCTGACTTGCTCACCTGCTCTGCTGCCTGGTGGTGGCCTGCACTGTGGGCTGCTGCTTGCTGGGGAGCCTGTGCTGTGAGCTGTGCTGCCCCATGTTGCATGGTTGACCCACCAAGCCTCAGTTCTAGGTTCAGCTGACCAGAGTCAGCAGTTTGAAAGATGTATAGGCGTTTGGGAGCAGGACTATGGGATTGGGGCCTCCTTAAATGAGTCCTGGGTCAGTGTCTTTGCTGGGATTTATCTGTGTGTTACAGTGAAGCTGTGACACAGGCTGGGTTGGCCTGACATAACCCAGGGATGGGGGTGGTAGACAGGGCCTGTACCCTGTGCAATGGTGGGTCCATCAGATGGTCGCTCCTGAAAGAGCAGTCATTTAAAAAAAGAGAGGAGAGGGGGAAAGGCAGACAGTAGGTGACAGGCTGAGTCCACACTCCTAACACCAGAGGGCTTGCTAGGACCCTTAAGTACCTCTGCTGCTGCTGCCCCTACATCTGCTACCACAAAGATCCTGACCCTCAGGGTTGTAGGGGACAACACCCATGGCACCCCTCTGGCACAGGTATTAGTTAAAACCTGACTTAAGCCCAAGGTTTAAACCTTCTAAAGCATCCAGTTGTCACAGGGGAGGCTCCTAACCCTGATGGCACTGTTTTGAGACTCTTGTGTGGAAAAAAAAATTATAAATACCAGGGTAGAGAGGCACTCCCTCTCCTGAAGTGTATCCCATGAGAAAGAAAACAAAACAGGAAAGATCAGGAGGAAGAAAACAATAAACAAAACACTGAAACAGAGGTCCACAATTTGCCCTAATTGGAAATCCAATACTGAGGAATTTACATAACAAAACAGATAGAGGTACATTGCACTAATTCAGAAACCTTCAAGCAGTTAATCAATACTAGGTGTCAAATTATAGTTATACGTGGATCCCACTAAATTTAAGGAGGGTCCCCCTGATGATCTTAGGGGTGTTAATGAATACAATATAGGTGACAAATAGGACAAGTGTTGCACCTTGAACCTTTAGAACTATGGTCTTGCTTAAATTCTCTATGGTCATAACACCCGTTGTCCTAAAATATCCCACGGTGAACTGGGAAGCTCTGATCCAATGATTCAGAATTAAAATTAAATAAAGTCTTTACTACTTAGAAATTGGCTTGACAAATTGGGACTCCAGTGACCTTACCCTCCAAATAAAGCAGTTTATGTGACCCAATGTAAATTACTCAGGGCCTTGAAGGATTGAAAACTATAGGAAATCTAGCTAATGAGGGGTTGATAATTCCTAGTGCCTCTTTTTTTTTTTTTTTTAAAGATTTTATTTATTTTTTTTTTTCCCCCCAAAGCCCCAGTAGATAGTTGTATGTCATAGCTGCACATCCTTCTAGTTGCTGTATGTGGGACTCGGCCTCAGGATGGACA